AGGGGCAGCAGCAGGAAAGCCAAGCTCCAGGGCCATCTTTCTTTCTTTTCTTTTTTTTTAAGATTTGGTTTATTTATTTGAAAGGTAGAGCTCCAGAGAGAGGGAGGGAGACAGAGAGAAAGGTTTTGCATCTGCTGGTTCACTCCCCAGATGGCCGCAATGGCCAGGGCTGGGCCAGTCCAAAGCCAGAAGCTCCTTCAGGGTCTCCTATGGGGATGCAGGGGCCCAAGCACTTGGGCCGTCTTCTACTGCTTTCCCAGGCCACAGCAGAGAGCTGGATGGGAAGTGGAGCAGCTGGGACTCGAACCAGCGTCTACACAGGATGCCGGACCTGCAAGCGGTGCCTTTACCTACTACGCCACAGCGCCAGCCCCTCCAGGGCCATCCTGATTCCTGCTTGTAAGAACATGTCTGGGGATCCATTTTCCTTTTTTTTTTTTTTTTTTTAAAGATTTATTTTACTTACTTGAAAATCAGAATTACAGAGAGAGAGGCAGAGAGAGAGAAAGAGGTCTTCCATCTGCTGGTTCACTCCCCAAATGACTACAACAGCCGGGGCTGGGACCACACGGAGCTCCCTCTGGGTCTCCCACATGGGTGGGTGCAGGGGCCTGAGCCATCCTCTGCTGCTTTCCCAGGCGCATCAGCAGGGAGCTGGATCGGAAGAGGAGCAGCCGGGGCCCGAACCGGCGCCCATGTGGGATGCGGGCGCGGCAGACAGCAGCTTAACCTGCTGTACCACAGCGTCCGCCCCTGGGTGGCGGGGGGGTCCACTCTCAACGCAGAACAGAAACGACTGAGATCCGACAGGAGGTGTAGCAAAGCTCCCCTGGCAAACAGGATGCACAGAGCAGCCAGCTCACAGGAGGGAAGCCGGGGGTGGGGCTGGCAGCACTCAGCCAATGAGGAGCCGGGGGAGGGGCCTGGTGCCGCTCATCAGCCACCTGATGGTGAAAGGCGGATAATAAAGTCTCGCTTTCCCCGCACTTCCCGAGCCTGATGCACCCTGAGTGGACAGGCGAGGATATGTCCCGCACCGCTCCTGGGGCTCGGCCACGCAGCTGGCTCCGGGAGCCCCGAGGTCCCTGCCCCACGTGCGCGGTCACAATCAGTCCCGGGGCCTCCTCCAGCTGGGGTCAGGTGTGTGCACGCGCCCACACCCCACACACGCACGTACATACGCCGCCCCAGCTCCTCCCTGTACCCCTCAGGGCTGAGAACACGGATCCCTAGATTCTTCAGGGCACGACTTTTCAACTCTCACTCAGGGTCCCCCCGAGAGCCCCAAGCCCTCAGTCCGCGGCAGCTGTTTCCAGCCCACAGCCAGGCATTCACACGTCTCCTCACAGGCTGATGTGCGAAACCGTGGGCGCCTCAAAAAAGTACGGGGAGGGGCCCGGCACTGTGGGGTAGCAGGTAAAGCTGCTGCCTGTGACCCCAGCATCCCATGTGGGCAGCGGTTCGAGTCCCGGCTGCTCCACTTCCCATCCAGCTCCCTGCTAATGCGCCTGGGAAAGCAGTGGAAGATGGCCCAGGAGCTCGGGCCCCTGCACCCACGTGGGAGACCTGGATGGAGTTGCAGGCTCCTGGCTTTGGCCTGGCCCAGCTGTTTGGGCCATCTGGGGAGTGAACCAGAGGATGTAGGCGCGCGCTCTCTCTCTCTCTCTCAATCTCAATCTCTCATGGGGTCCAGGCCTGAGTGGTACCCCCAGCCAGGCTGGCAACCCTGCTGCGGGGGCCCCAGGCCCAGGCTCCCGGAAGGACCCCCAGCATCTCCCCACACAGCCGTTTCCTGTGAGGGCCACATATGGTGTCCCAGGATGGGCATGGATGCAGTGGCAATCAGGGGGACGGGAGGGGCCGTGCAGGGACTGGCCGATGAGCCTGGCACCTGGCAGACCGTGGCAGCAGTGGGCGTGGTGGGTCACGGCAGCAGCTCCCCGGACAGCCATGTCAACTTTCCAAGTAATTAGTTTTTATATCAGGCAGCTGGTTCAAGGGCCGCTGGTCCGGGCAGCTCTAATGACTGATGCCGATTTTGTTCAATGATTTACAGCTGAGCGCTGTCGAGGGGAGGATGGTGTCTCTGTGTCCACACAGCAGCGGCTCAGTGGCCGGAGCAGCCGGAGCAGGGTGGGGGCTCTCGTCAGGACCCTCAGCGCCCACCATGTGGGGAACCCTGCCTCGGCGTCACCCACCAGCTGAGCCACACCGCACCGTGCTGCCCCGGGGCCCCCCTGGGAGCATGAGGGAGAGGGGCGGGGTGTGAGCCTGGGCTCACCATGGGGGGTGGGGGTGGGGAGAAGGCAGAGCCGCCTGTGGGGGGCCACAGGGAGGGGGCGGTGTGAGCCGGTGCAGGCGGGCACCTGCTCCATCCGGAACCTCGCGTCCCTGCGCTGTTGAATGACTGAACGGTGGTCCGAGCCCCACTGGTCAGATGAGCTCAGCCAGGTCCAGGGCCACAGGGCAGTCAGGCCTCCAGCCGGGCCCTCGGCTCCGGACCGCTCCTCCTGCCCCACCCAGCAGTGGCCCCCGGCCGGGCCCAGCTGGTGCCCTGACCCACGGCCTGTGAGGATGACTCCGGGGCCTTCCTCGTGGACCCACCCGGAGCTGCAGCGCCGACCCCTCGGGAAAACGCTCAGAGAGGAGCATTTCTGGAATGGGGAGGACTCCTGGGGCCCTACCCTGGCGTGGAAGACTGGGGGGGGCGTGTGCAAGGGCCCCACGCCCAGCCAGGAAGCCGCGACGAGGGCCTTGTGGGCGAGGAGGCGGGGGCAGCAGCTCTTGGGCCTCCCCTTCCCAACCAGCCTAGCGGAGTCCCTCTCTGTGAGCCTCGGCCAACCCCGCCTTCTGAGACAGTGGGCGGAGCGGCCAGCGCCTCGCCCCAAACGAGGGCACAAGTTCGCGTCCCAGCTGCTCCATCTGTGATCCGGCTCCCTGACAGTGCACCTGGGAAGGCAGAAGATGGTCCAGGTGCTCGGGCCCCTGCACCTGCGTGCGAGACCTGGAGTTCAGGGCTCCTGGCTGCGGCCTGGCCCAGCCCCAGCCCTTGCAGCTATTTGGGGAGAGAAACAGCAGATGAAAAATCTCTGTCTCTGACTTTCTGTCACTCTGCCTTTCAAACAAAAAATAATAATAAATATTAAAAAAAAAAAGGGGGTGGGGAGTGGTACTGTGGCACAGCAGGCTAAAGCCGCCGCCTGCAGTGCCGGCTTCCCATATAGGCGCCGGTTCATGTCCTCGCTGCTCCATTTCCCATCCAGCTCCCTGCTAATGCGCCTGGGAAAGCAGTGGAAGATGGCCCAAGTGCTTGGGCCCCTGCACCCATGTGGGAGACCCAGAAGAAGCTCCTGGCTTCAGATCAGCGCAGCTCCGGCTGTTGTGGCCATTTGGGGACTGAATGAGTGGCGGGAAGGCCTTTCTCTTTGTGTGTGTCTCTACCTCTAACTCTTTCAAATAAATACATTAAAAAAATTCTAAAACAAATGCCCAAAAGGAAAGGGTCTCAGTAAGGACCAGCAGGAGCCCGAGCCCACCTCGTCCCGGCTGCATCCCATGCAGACACCTGCCGAGTCCACCCTGGGCCCCACCGCCGGGTCTGGAGAAGCCCTCGGCGCCTGTTGGTTTTGTTTCTGGCTTTGCCTCCTGCAGCTTGAACAGGGGAAGGAGGCAGGAAGATGCCTGCTGTGCACAGCCCCCCACCCCAGGACCCCACATTTCCCACCAGAGCCCAGAGCCAGCCCCAGCCCGGGGAACAGCCCGCCTGGACCACGTGGCCCCTGCAGAAACTCGGGTGGGCGAGGCAGCCCCTGGAGGCAGCTGTGGGGCCACCTCGCTCACCCCACCCAGGGCCCTCTGAAAGTCTCACGTCCTTGGAACCCCTCACCCGGGGGCAAACTGAACTGAGGGTGGCCCTGATCCTGCGGCACAGGGGAGGCCGTGGCCCCTGTGACAAGGTTGGGAGGAGGGGCAGGTGGGCCATCCGGGAGCTGGCGGACATGGCTGGGGGCAGCAGGACCCTGGGGGAGCCACGTGGATCCACACACGGAGGAGCTAGACAGAGGCCAGGGCTGCCTGTGCACGTGGTGGGGCAAGAACAGGCTTCAGCCCGCGGGAGGAACTAGAGATGCAGACGGGGACGCCGCACAGCCACGAGGCCAGAAGGGCCGCGGTGGGCAGGCCCCAGGCCCCTCACAGCGGGGACACACGGGTCCCCATCGATTCGTTTGGGGAGGAAATCACTTTTCCTCTTTCAGAACTTGGAGCAGCCGGGTGGCCCAGAGAGGTTGGGACGACGCAGAGGTCACCGGGCCCGTCGGGGACAGAGTGCAGGTGGACATGGGAGCGCCCAGCCCACACCAAGGCTTTCCTGCACCCCCTGCTGCTGTGCCGGAGACCCCGAGACGGCCGGGAGGGGGTGTGGCGGCCTGAACGATGGCAGCCCCTGCCCAGGTTCATGTCCACTCAGAACCTCCAGGGGAAGTCGGGTGGGGAAAGGGGGTCTTCGCGGGTGACCTGTGGAAGCAGGGATCTCAGTAGGACCCCTCAAGGCGGGCACCGAATCCGGGAGGAGACAGGGAGACAGGGAGAAGGGGGCCGGCCACCAGAGCCAGCTTCCTCTGCAGGGCGTGTGGCCCCGACCGCACCTCCAGCAGGTGTTGGTCACTTTAAGGCCCTATGCTGTGGTCACACAGGCCGGTCCCCCCAGTGGCTCTGCAGAGAACTCGCTCAGCCGCGCCTCCCAGAACCAGCTCAACAGCCGCTAAATTACCGACAAGTGCCGGGCATCCTGGCAGATTCGAGTCCCAAGAGGCAGAGAGCGAAGTCTGAGCACCCAGTGACCAGGAGCTCACAGCGCCCTCCTGTGGCGCCCAGCAGCCATCTCGCGTCACCAGGCTTGCAGCTGCTGCTTCTGCATTAACTGGCCTGAGTCTAAGATCCCAGCAGCTGCCGGGCTGTGCCCCTGGAGGCAGGCAGGAGAGAGACTCCCCCTCGGAGCCTTTGCATTTGAAACATTTATTTCAGGAAATACAATTTCAACACTTTGTTATTTATACAAAAAGAGACGGATTTCTCAGGAGGCACAGAGCGGAAGGCCACCGTGGGACAGAGCCTGACGGACGCAATTTCTCAAAATCTGGTTACAGGGCAGGAAAGCGAAGCCATCCCGGGCCCCGGGTGCCGCGGACCCCGGGGCCACACCGACGCCGGGGCTGCACGTGGCCTGCAGGATCTTGGTTTTGGCAAAGTCTTGGCAAGTCGGCAAGTAAACTGCTCCGCTGGGGGGCTTGGCGAGGGGGTCCTTCCCCAAGCTGCTCAGGGCAATGAGCTCCCCACACAGGCGCACCTGCCCCTGCCGCGTCTGGCCGCCGCCCGGCCCTCTCGCCGGCGCTAAGATGCCGGTGCGGCGGCCGGGGACAGATGCACCTGGGTCAGACCCCATCGGACCCTCCCTCCATGCCAGGCGCGAGACAGGAACAGGTGGCGGGGACGGGGCAGCTTTGGTCGGCTGTGCAAGGGAAGGACGGGCCCTGCTGGCCTCCTGGCAGGGACAGAGGTGGAGGGGGCCCTCGCCCCCAGCCCAGGTCTGCACCCGGGCCCTCCTGCCTCTCTCTGGGGTGGGGGGGTCTCTGATGGGGGTGCAGGGGCCCAGGCAGGAGAACAAACAGGGCCGTGGGGGATGAGAAGTGGGGTGGCCAACCGGGCATTAATGCGACCCGAACACCTTGGGCCAAACCAAGAACAGACAAGATGGACACAGGCAGGACCCCGGGTGCCCGGGGCCCCTCCAACCACCCCGAGCCACGCCTGCCCCCCCTTTCCCCAGGCACCTGCTGGGCTCCGCCCCTCTGCTACCCCACCATATTCACTTGCTAAAAATCAGGCACGGGTAGCATCTCCCCCTCTCTTTTGTCCTCAATTAGGTCCAGGTGCACCGGCTACCCCCGCAGCCCATGGGAGGCAGGACACGAGGTGGGGAGCGGGGAGAGGAAGCCGCCACCTCCCTCTCGCCGGCTGCTGGGGTTCCTGGGAGGTGGGGACGGCTGTGGTCAAGGCACTTTCTGCTTCAGGACGGACTCGCGTGTCTGCGCCGCCGGCAGCTACGCTGTGCGGGCAGGGAGGGGCGGGAGGGGCTCCATCCTCCCCTGGGCACAGCCCCGACCTGCCCCTGAGGCTGGGGCACGAGGCCCCGCGGGCACCTGTGCAGGAAAGGGCCCGAAGCCCACACACGGAGGCTGCTCCTGGACGGGTAGGCTCGGCGAGGGCAGGTGCTGCCCCCTGGGGGCTGGGCCTGGGGGGATCTGGGCCCGCCCACACCCGAAGTCTGCGAGCACACACAGGAGGGCGCCCTCTTGTGGCGCAGGCGGGCAGCACATAGGGAAGAGTGGAGAAAATGATATAAAATAAAGTGGGCCGGGTGGGGGGCGACGCGGGGCGAGGGTCCGGGGCGGGGCAGGCGTCTACATCTCCTGGGCTTCCGGCTCCTTCTCCTCCACGCCGTTGGCCACGGCGCCATGGCTTTCGCTGAGCCGCCTCACGCGGTAGGCCTCGAAGTGGATGCTGCTTGTGATGTCTTTGATGTTCTGCATGTGTGTCCTGGGGGTGGGGGCAGCGGTCAGCCGGGCCCTCCCCGCCCCCACCCTGCTGCCTGGGGTCCACCCCCGGGAACCCCGGCTAGCGGACACACTGCTCCAACGCACGCCTCTCCCCTTGTGGCCATCGGGGCCGGCCAGGGTCAGGCAGGGCTGCGGTGTCCCGCGTCCCAGAAGGAGCTGGGTGGGGGCAGGGCGGAGGCAGCAGGTGACCGACCCCTGGCTCAGGGGCTGTGGCCAGAGACAGATGATGGACAGGCGTGGAGACTGAGCCCACACTGCTCAAACCAGGCTCAGGAGGGGGAATCTGGAGGTGGGGGGGTCACCCCAACCTGGATGCCCCGCCCCCTTCTGACACCACTCCCAGGGCCCACCCTCCCACTCACCTGGCCCCGCTCCCAGCTTCACCTGCTTGTGCCGTTCCGTGGCTGGGGAAGCCTCAGCCAGGTCCCAGGGGCTGGGGTCAGAACTCAGCCCACCCCTCCCAGGGGCCCCGCACCCATCCGCAAGTTCACACCTGGCAGCTCCCATTCCCCAGAGGAGGGACGGGCCAGGATGTGCGGCAGCCACCAGGGCCCGGCGCCCACCCCCGCCCACGGCGGCGCCACCGCCCCTCACCTGATGAGGAGGTCCCGCAGGTAGGCAAACTCGCAGTGTGTGGTGTTTTCCACTGCGGGAGACAGAAGGGCTTTAACGTCAGGGAGGGAGCCCCCCACCCTGCACGCCTCCCCCGGCCCCAGGGGCTGATGTGCGGGTGAGTCGCCTGCCCGACAGGTGCACCCGACACCGGGAAGGCGCCCGGCACTGCTCAGGCGGAGCGACAGGAGACTCGGCTCCTGCCCCGTTAGCTTCCGGTCCAGCGGGAAGACGGGACCCTGCCCCGCCGCGTGACCAGCCTCGTGGGCGGCTGAGGAGGAGCGGGGGCTGCGGTGCTGGGAACAGGACCTGGGGGCGTCCGAGGGGGATCCCACAGCAAACCTGGGGCCCACTGGGAGCCTCCCCACACGTGCGTGCTTGGGGCACGCGCACAGGGACACACGCACACACATGGAGACCGCGCCCCATGGGCCACCACTGACACCTAACTCAGGAGCCGGCGAGACGACACACTGCCCTCCACGGTGCACAGGAGCCCGAGGGCAGGCCACGGGCACCCCAGGGGCCACAGTCACAGCACGCTCGGCTTACACACTGCCAGGGCGTCTGACCTCCACGTGAGAGGGCTGGGGGGGGGGATCCCTGCGAAGCAGCGCCAGGGGCCTCTCGGGCACCACCTGCCCTGGCCAGGGTCCTGCAGGCCACGCTCTTGCAGTCTTAGCAAAGCAGGGCGTAAGGAGGCAGGAGAAGGGTCCTCCGCGCTGCAGCAGGTTTGGGACCTGGCCACATCGCCCAGGCCACCCCGTCACTCCCAGCCAGGCTCCTAGGGCCGGCCTGGCAGGCCACTCTGGACCTCCGTGTCCTCGTCTGTAAAATGAGCACAGCAGGGCCCACCTGCCCTCCTTGGACACGGTGTGAGGGGTGTCACACCCTGGCCGCCGGCCCACCGTGCCCCCAGCAGTGCCCGGGGAGACGCCTCCTGAGGGTGCACAGCAGATACGACCAGCGTGCGTAAGGCCAACTCACTTCGCTTCCTGCTAGCCAGGCCTCTGGCCTGATGTAAAAACCTGCCCGTGTCCTGGGCCAGCCTCGGCTCCCCTGGCAGCCGCCACAGGGTTTCTCTGCAGGGCGCCCAATGGCCTCCTCTCTTTCCCCTTTCCCGGCCACCTGCAGTGCCCACAGCCGGCCACCAGGGGGCAGCAGCGGCGAGCCATGCACAGGTCGGCCCCACTCCCCCAGGGACCCTCCCCAACAAGCGTCTCACAGAGAGAACATGGAAGAGGAGGCGTCCGCCAGCTCCTGGCCAGGAGAGGGGGGAAGACACTGGAAAACCCAGCATGGGGGGAGGGGGGTTTGAAGGGTGACAGACCAGGGAAGGGCCCACGCCCGCCCACACCCGCCCACATCCCCCCCAGGCTGTACCTCCAGCTGCAGGCAGCCCAGCGGGGTGGGGGGGAGATGGAGCCGCCTCCTCCCATTTCGGGACCCCTCCCCCGTTGGCTCTCAGCCCCCGCATCTCTTCCAGCATAGGAGGGGACAGCACCAGGGCCCCCCCCCGCCCCCCGCCTGTCACAGGGCGGGGTCTGGGACGCTTGCTTGAGGCAGCTCCAACTCCTAACACTGTGCCCATTTCACAGACAGTGGGCCGAGGCCTCGTCCAAACAGCCTGACCCCCGACCCCCGACCCCAAGTAGGTGGGCCCAGCCCCAGCTCTCCGTCCTGGTCACAGGACGTCTGCAGTGGAATTCAGCCCCGGCTCTCACGACGGCCCGGGACACAGGACAGTGTCCTGAGGCAGCCATGACACCCACCCAGGGAAAGCGGCCACGTGACAGCAGAGCAGCCGTCGGGGGGCGTGTCCACAGGCCAAGGACTGCCGGGAGCCACCAGGAGGCCCAGCCTGGCTCTGGGCCTCTGACCGCCAGCTGGGCGAGCGGGTCCCTGTGTCCCAGGCCGTGCTGACTGGCTGCAGCCACAGGACACTGAGGGTGACATGGCCAGGGGCACACGGGGGTGAGCACCGGCGCCCCCCCCCGGCTCTTGCCTCCCCGGGGTACTTCCCTGGCCCGATGCACATCAGCTGCTGGCCACGGGCCAGTGGGAACCAGGAGACGGAGCCGTGGAAGACCATGGTCCCGGAGGTCCACTCGGGCCAGGGCCCCCGCTGGGCCCACAACAGGGACTGAGCGCCCCGCCCCCGGCCGGCGGGCCTGCCTGGCAGCACCCGCGCGTACCTTCGATGGTGCCCCACTTGGTCTTCCTCCCGAGGATCCTCTTGCCGTTGACCTGGTACTCGTGGTCACTGCCCACCACGGCAAACGGGATCATCTCCTGGGGGGGCGGGGGGAGGCAGCGCTGGTCACACCACTGCCCCAGCACCCCCTCCAGGGGGCAGGAAGCCGGGTCCCCGGGGAGGGCGCCAGGGCCGACCCACTCACCCGGAACTTCTCGTTCACCAGCCGGTCCTCCGCGTCCTCATCGAACTCCTTTTGGGGGTACACGTCAATGCCGTTGGACAGCAGGTCCGCGGTGATCTGGGGGTGCGGGACAGAGGTGTGGGCGCCACCTGGGATCTGCCGACGCGGGGCCCCCAGGCTGTGAGCTGCCCAGGCGCGGGGCGGGGGCGGGGGCAGGTGCACGACAGCCTGCCCTGGGGGTGCTCCTCGCCCCAGAGACCCATCCTTCCCTAAGCATGCTGGGAAAATCCTTCACACCGGGCCCCGCGATGCAGGCCAAGGGGGACACATGGAGCTTGCGGAACTGGATTTGGGGCCCCTGCTCACGGCCGCCCGTGCGACCTGCTTGAGCCCTACTTGGGGACTTTGCTCAAGAACACGCCCCCAAGGAGGAGCTGCTTCTGGGAGATGGGGGAGGGGAGGGGGAGGGCGGTCCCAGGGAGGGACCGCCCCCCAAGGCCAGCCCCTGGCTGTGAATGGTGACCACGGTCCTCCTGGACACAGAGCCCTGTGCTTATCCAGGCCAACTCCCAAGGACGGTGGGCTGGGCGGGGCCAGGGGGCCGGGGGCCAGGCGGGGGCAGGGGCCCTACCCGCTGCTTGAAGTAGACCCTCTCCTCCAGGGTCAGCGTGTCGGCCTTGGCGATGACGGGGACGATGTTGACCACCTTGCTCAGGCGCTTCATGAACTCGATGTCCAGCGGCCTGAGACTGAAGCAAAGCCGCGTTCACGAGACCCGGCTGGGGGCACGGAGGGGCGGGGGTGGGGGCCCCGCCGGGAGCTGGGACACGGATCCTGGGGTGCTGACGAGGACAAGGCCCCGAGCGGGATGCCAGCCAGGCAGTGAGGGCAGCACAGGGACAAGGGACAGGGCCTGGCCCAGGCGCGAGGGCACCGTGGCAGGAGCAGGAGGAGGGACCGAGCCAGCTCCCCCGCGTCCACGCACTTCCTGGTCCCAACTGTCACAGACGCGTCCATGCAGACAGGGGCTGAGTCGGAGCCATCGTGTGGGGCTCCTGTCCATGCTGGCCGCCCCCAGGGAAAGCCTGGCCCCTTGCCTGTCCCCCAGGGGACACCTGCTCCCAGCGGGTGGGGGCGCACGGCCCTGGACGCCGCCCGGGGACAGCCGGGCTGCAGGCAGAGGTGTCAGCAGACACGGCCTGAGTCCCACCCCGGGGGCTGGGCATCGGCGAGGGACCCGCCCAGAGGGTCACTGCTCAGGGGGCAGGGGCGGGGGCGGGGGCGGGACCTGGGCTCGCCCTGGTGGTGTCACATATGGACCTGGGTCTCCCGCCATTGCTCTCAGCCCAGACGAAGCTTGGCACAGCCGGACCAGAAGCTGCAGGACCCCAGATAGGCCGCGCTAGCCCAGGGGGGACAGGCATCGGGTCGCACTTGGCCTCACCAAGCCTCTGCCGGGAACGGACTCTTGTCGGCCCACAGGGGGACAACTGGCGAGGTGGCTCAGGGCTGGGGCCAGAGCTGTCCACCAGGACCCGAGCAGAGCGAACCTGCTGCCCTCCGGCTTCCTACACTGGGGATAGCCAGAGACTCCTCACCGGCCTCCGGGTGTAACCTCGGGGTGCCTAAGACTGGCCAGAAAGGGCCCTGGCGAGGCAGCCTTGGGCGCAGCAGCCTGTCCAGCCGCTTCCCATCTGAGACGGCAGCGAACCCTCCCAGGGACGCGGGAGGCAGGGACCCCTAAGGAGCAGAACTGGGTCATCTCCGCCCAGGCGGGTGTGTGGGGTACACGGGGTGCCCGGGCCTCAGCTCAAAACCGAGAGGACAGGAACTGCCAGGTGCAGAAGTCACAGGGCCAACAGACACACGTGCCCGCGCTGGCCACGGCCCACCGGGACGTACGAGTGGCCAGTGGCGGGGATGAAGTAGAGGCAGCAGTGCACACGCGTGTCCGGGATGCGCTTCTTCCGGTTGATGTTCACCTCCTCCTGCAGGTACTTCTCGTACTGGTCGTTAATGAACTTCATGATGGGCTGCCAGCTGCGTGGGGAACAGACAGCCTGTACACGGGCCGAGCCGCTCACCCCCAGGGCGCCCTCCCGACACCCGGCTCCCACCCCTGGCCCATCCCGCAAGCAGAGAGGCTGTGGTTCTACCTCTGAGCCCCCAGACCCGCAGCCCCTGGCCCCAGGGGCCGGAGCGTGGAGGGCAACACCCCCCGCGCGACCCTGCTCTGGCTCAGAATTCCCGGGGGTGGCCCCTCACCAGTTCTCATTGTTGATGTGGTCCCCAAAGCCTGGCGTGTCAATCACCGTCAGCTTCATCCGGACGCCCTTCTCCTCGATATCTGCGCAGAGCGGTGCGGCAGCTCAAGGGCAGACCCCTGCCCCGCCCCCGGCACCCCCCGCCCCTGGCCCAGGACGAGGCCCGCCCACTGAGCCAGCAGAGGCGGCCCACACAAACTCCAGGAAGCCCCTGGCCTGCCCCCGGCCACCGTGGCACCGACCGTGAGTGATGGACTTGATCTCCACCGTCTTGGGGATGCGCTCCTCCACGGCCGGCTGCACCGACTTCCGGCTGATCTTGGACTTGAAGAGCGTGTTGATTAAGGTGGACTTGCCCAAGCCACTCTGCCCTGGAGGGGTTGGGGTACAAGTTTAGGGGCGTCAGCGCAGTCAGGGGAGTGGGTGCTGGGCTGTGGGCATGAGTATGGGGTCGGGGACATGGGTGTTGGATGGGTGCATGGGTATTGGGTTGGGTACCTGGGTGTGGGGTCAGGGGTGTGGGTGCCAGGTAGGGGGGTGTGGGTTGCTGGGTGGGTGCATGGGTGGTGGGTGGGTATACGGGTACAGGGTTGAGGGCATGGGTGCAAGGTGGGGGGCATGGGTGTGTGTGGGGGGTGTGGGTTCTGGGCTGGGGGTGCCATGCAGCCAGGCCTGGGCCACAGCAGCCTACTGCAGCCCCCGCCAGACTCGGCCAGGTCCTGTCCTGAGGGGTGACTGCCGGGCACTGCGGGCCAGGTGGTAGTCAGAGCGCCCTGCGCCCCGGGTGCTGTCCCGGAAGGGGTCTCCTGACGTGGGACACTGGGTGCTGGGCCCCTCACGGCCCAGCTGTGGCTCTGGGCGAGTCCTCCAGCCTCCCCGTGCCTCGGTCTCCCCCGGCGAGGCGGGACCCGCCCTGTCTGTGCCGGGCAGCGGGTGGAGCACCAGGCCGCTCAGGCACAGACTCTGCAGCCCCACGCGGTGCTCAGTGCCGGGCCAGGGCCACGCCGCCGCCCTGGGGGGCAGCAGGTCACACACACACACACACACACACACCCCACCCGCCCACTCCTCACACAATACACACACACACACCTCACAACGCACACACCTCATACACACACCTCACATACACACCAACTCACACACACAACTCACAACTCCCATATGCACACGCCCCATACACATGCCTTCTACGCAACACACACCTCACACCTCCCATATCACAACCCACCCGCACACGCCTCACATACACACGCCTCACACACAACACACACAACACACACACACCTCACACATGCACTGCACAGATCTCACAACTCATACGTTTCCCACCTCACACACACCCAACTCCGTCTCGCGCACACACATGCACACCCTGGATCGGGAGCCCCAGGTTTCCCCCTGCACAGGACTGCCCGGGCTGTGCTCACATGCATGTCCACATAGCATGTGTGAGTACACAACACACGTGTGTACACACAACGCACATGGCTGCATAACATACGTGTCCACACACATGTGCACCATAACGTGTGTGGGCAGTGCGTGTCTGCATAACATGTGTGCGTATACAACACACAACCCCACGGTCCCCACTCTGCGAATCCCTCTCAAGGCCAGAGTGGGCTCTCGGAGGACCGGGCACTCGGCCCCGCCCCCGCCCACCTGGTGTGTGTCCTGGCCATGCTCAGGCCAGCGGCCGAGTCCAGGGTCCTGGCTGGGACGCCCTGGATGGGCAGTGCCAGCTGGGTCACTGTGAAGTTCACCCCGCGTTGCTATTCCGTCATCGTCATCACTGTCACCTTCACATCATCGTCCCGCCCCTGCTGCTGGGACTCTGCCGGGCCCAGCCCCGCCCTCTGAGGTCAGGGTCAGGAAACCAATAAGCAAGCACGCCACACCGCACTGGGACAAGGCTGGGGTCCTGCAGGTCTGCAGACCCCCAGACGGGTGCCTCCCCCCACAGCACAGTCTGTGGGTGGAGGAAGGCGCGGAGCCGGCACCGCACCCCAAGGCCACCGCTCCCGGCTTCCCCGTGACGCCCGGCCCCACAAGGCCCTCCACAGCGTCGCCGCGACCCCCCCTCCTGCTGGCTGCTGCCCCATCTTACAGAAGGGAAGACTGAGCCCCACGGCAGGGGCGGGGCTGGGCCCGGGACTCACCGACAACCATGATGTTGAACTCGAAGCCCTGCCTCATGGCCTTTCTGCGCATCTGCTCCAGGATGGAGTCGATGCCCACGTAGCCGAAGTCCACGGGGGCCTTCTCGCTCCGCGGTGCGGGCGCCTGCTTGAACCCGGCATCTCTGGGGGTGTCGGCCATGTCGCCAGTGCAGCCGGGAGCCGCCTCGGTGGCTGGAGGGGGAGAGAGAGAGCGGAGGTTGGGGTGGCGAGGTCTGCCGAGCAGGACCACGACCACGCAGCTCTGACCAAGGTGACAGGTGACCGCTAACAGGCCACTCCCCCAAGCTCTCCACCACCGGGGCTGCCCTGGGCCCTTCCCTGGGCCGGGGGGTGGGGGTGGGGGGGCAGAACCTGGACGCCTGGCTGTGCATTCTGCTGGCCTTTGCCTGTCTGTGCTCAGAGGAGCCCCTCGTGGTTCCGCGGCCCAGGACACAGGGCGGGCACAGCCTCTGCCTCCCGCACAGAGCACGGGGAGCCCGGCACCTGTGCCCGCCCACTGGTCCCAGGGGAGGCGAGCCGAGTTCCTGTGACCCGGGCATCCACCAGGCGCTGCCCCTGTGGCTCTCACCCACAGGCAGGCCCCAGGTCTGCCTCTGGGTGGACAGGGCGGAACTTCCCAAAATAACTGAAGCTTCTTCCGCCTGCGGGTCACAGGGCAAGCGTCTTCCCCTCTACTCCCAGCCCCCCCGCGCTGGCTGCCCCGGAAGTCCCCACACCGCCGTTAGAGCCTGGGGGACCACTGGGACTCCAGGCACAGGGTGTCAGACCCCAGGGGAGCACTGGTTCCTGCCAGGGCCCGGCTGTGGCCCAGACACACGGCTGTCACGGGGTCAAGGCGCCAACCCCCAGCCCAGAGGCAGACACTGGGGTCCCCTCTGCTCCAAGGCCTCACCCACCCCTGCTGGGGGCCTCTGGGAATGCAGCCTCCAGGGTCTTTCATCCTGGCCCGAGCTGAGACTCCAGGGACCCCCCCCATGATGCTCTCAACACCTCCTCCCTGCACGGACCCCTGGAGCAGCAGAGGTGGGGCCTGGAGTGGCTCCTCCACCTCTGGGCTTAACCCCAGGTCAAGTCCCTGGAGCCCCAGGTGGCCGGAGCCCCAGCAGCCCCGTGTGGCCAAGGCGGCAGGGCTGTGGGAGAGGAGCAGCCCCACAGGGCAGGCGTTTCTCTCCCCACTTTCCTCTGACCGGTACGAGCGGTAAGGAAGGGACACGAGGACACGAGGACGCGGCAGCACCAGACAGGCAGACCTGGGGCCCTGCCGCTGAGCCACAGAGCCGCCGGGAACGCAGCGCCTCTACCCACGGAACCTGCGGCATGGTGGGAGGCGGGGGGGGGCGGGGACGGGCTCCCCGCGTGACAGAAAATCTCCCCCAGCCGCCCACCCCACCCCCACAGCTCCCTCCCACGCAGCCCGGGGTTGGGGGGGGCACGGCTGTCCCCCGACCGTCCCGCACCGTGGCGGGAATCCGCCGCCTCCTCTGAGACTAAGAACGCGTCCTGCACCTGCGTGATCCCGTACCGCGGCTCTAGGTTTTATTGTATTTTTTCTTCTTTTTTTTTTTTTAAATAAAATTCACCAATGAAGCCTCCGGTTCAGAGCGACCCACCCCTAGGGCAGCTGAGCTCCGGGCCCCTCCCCCACCCCAGCAAGCCCCGCCCCGTCCTCGCTCGGCACCGGGCACCAGGACCCACCCATGGATGCACCTGGCTCTCAGAGTGCCAGCTCGGCCCCTTGGCAGAACGCCCCAGGGTGCGCCCACTGGGCCCACAGAATTCCTCTCCCCGTCCAGGCTGCTGGGCGTCGCTCCACTCGTGGGCAATCAAGCGCCCCTAGTGGGAAGGGCCCCTCGGTGGTGAGCGCTGAGACCGGCTGCGGATTCCCCGACAACTCATCTCACCCAGAGCCAGGGAAGGAATTCTCCCAGGAGAATCCCGCAGGGCCTCAGGGCCGCGCGCACGTCCGTGTTCCGCTGTGCAACTGCTGCACCGTCTGCCGGCTCCCACTTTCAAAGACGAATTTATTTACTGAGAGTGACAGAGACAGAGAGAACCTTCCACTCCCCACACGGCCACGAAGGCTGGGGCTGGGCCAGGACGGAGCCGGGAGCCCGGAGCTGCATCCGGGTCCCGCGCAGGTGGCAGGCGGCCAAGCCCCTGGGCCGTCTCTGCCTTCGCAGCTGCTTCGGCAGGAAGCGGCGTCGGAAGCAGAGCAGCGGGGACTCCAATCAGCACTCCCGGGTGAGGGCAGGTGTCCACGCGACCGGGAGCCCTGGACACCGAGCCAGGCCCGCCGAGACGGGGAGGCCTTGGTTTCACTTTTCATCAATTTCCATTTAACCAGCCGCACGTGGCTCATTGAACTGCCCCAGGGGACAGCGCAAAATCCCAGCCACAGAGGGGAGACTCAGGCCACCTGCATCGCAGCTGGGGGCAGCCAGGCCAACGCGGGACCTTCGCTGAACTGAGTCTGTGACGTCCATGGCCTGGCCACCCACCCGGGAAGGACGCCCCCACGGCAATGTGAGCTCCTGGGCCTGGCTGTGTCTCCCTCAGGGCCTCCCAGCCCCAAATACACCTGCAACACCCAGCCACAGGAAGGAGCATGGCCTCGCCCCTACAGCGCGCAGGGCAGCGAGGGAGGGTTGGGCGCCGATGGCCCAGTCCCTTGACGTGAAATTCCCAGAGACAGAGCGAGGCTCGCCGAGTGCCAGGGCCTGGGGGATCGGGGGCGGGGCGGTGATGGCTTAATGAGCATGGGTTCTCCCTCTGGGGTGAAGAGAATGTTCTAGAACCAGAGAGGGGTCAGACCCTGGTAAGAAAAAGCACCATGGACCCATCAAGTCTGAGTGGTACAGGAAGGGGAGTGGACAGAAACCAGGGGTGCCCTTGGTGCCCCAGCTGGCTGAATGGCCGTCGTCTCCCAGCAAGGCTGTTTCTGGGGGTCCCTGCAGGGGTCACGTTTCCCTCTCTCCTGCCACCTGCTGCTCCCTGCAGGGACAGCCCTGGCCCCCACGGGTTGGGGGCAGCTGCTCCCCTCCCCCGCCAGGCCCGCGGGGCTGCTGTCTGAAGTGGGGAGGAGAGGGACTGTAACCCATGCAGCCCTGGCCAGCGCCAGCACTTGAGAGGATTTCCGCAGCCGGGGCCTGCCAAGGATGACCGCATGGGATTGCCACTTGCTGCGTCGGGGGCTGTGGGATCACCCTGGCTGGGAGCCGGCCCTGGAGGCGGCAGGAGGCTCGGTGGGGCTTAGGGGCGGGATGGCGTCTGCTCTGCCTCAGAGCTGCGGGCCGCCCCTGGCTGGCTGGGCTCACGGAGGGCCGGCTTGCAAAGCAGTACCCAGGGCTCCGTGCGCCTGCCCCACACCCACATCCCAGCGATGCCACACAATCCTGCTCGTGCCGAGCACCTGCCTCGCCAGCCACAGGCAGAGACCGCGCAGTGGGGGCAGCACCCCTGCACCCCTATGGGACTGGACTCCCAGCTCCAGGGTGCAGCAGGTGGCACCCACGCAGCTGGGCCTGCACCACCTGGATCGGGCTGCCAGGAGCCAAGTCCGTGCCATGCCCTTTATCTCACCCCAGCCCAGCCCTGCTCAGCTCTCAAAGCCTGGCAGGATGAGGCCACCGTCTCCACCCCGCACGGTGCCTGCACCTCCGAGGCATATGCAGGGAGTGGGGGCTCCCAGTCACCGGGCACTCCCTCGTCCCACCTGCCAGTCTCAAGAAACCAGTGGGCATCTCCAGCCTGGGATGCCCGCCTTCTTTCCGCCCATCCCCAGCCCAGGGTGGTCCCCCGGTGGGACAGTGCACAAGGAGGGGGCCCGCTGGCCGCTGTCCACTCCAGATTCCGGAATCCAAGCCCTGGACCACCTGCACTGCAGGCCGTGGGAACATCACCCCTGCCTGGTGCAGGGCTGCCCCTCCCCTCCGCACACCTGCAGCCCATGGCTGGATGGGGACCCCTCCCCCTCCAAATACCTGGTGCTCTCTGCAGCCTGTTTGCACAGGTGCGTGAGCCTCACTGCAGGCAACGCCAGGGACGGAGTCAACTCCTGCCCCCCCCCCCACTTCCCTGGCTGCCTGCGGGGTCCCCGGGGCCTGGGAAGCCCTGGGGGAGTCCTGCCCGGCCCCCTGAAGCTCTCTCACCCACACTTCCTGTGAGCAGGCCTCCCCCGCGGAAGCCAGACACCTCATCCATCCCGCTCACCCGCACACTGTGGCGTGCACAGCTGTGGCTGGCACAGGGCCGGTCCTGCCGAATGAACGAGCGAACAAAAGGAGGCGTGTGCCGCGCGTCACAAGCCCACCTTTCCCGGGCGCCCCACGTGCCGGGTGCTAGACGTTTTGAGATTGAATTTATTTATTTCAAAGGCAGAATTACAGAGCGAGAGGGAGAGACAGAGAGAAAGAAATCTGCCATCCGTTCTTTCACTCCGCCAAATGGCCACAAAGTCTGGGACTGGGCCAGACCAGAGCCGGCGCCAGGCACCAGGCGCCAGGAGCTTTCTCTGGGTCTCCCATGCGGGTGCAGGGGCCCTGGCACTCGGGCATCCTCCACTGCTTTCCCAGGCTCATCAGCAGGGGGCTGGATGGGAAGGGAGCAGCCGGGACTCGAACCAGCCCTGGGAACAGCATGTGGGCCTCCCGCGTCACAGGCTGTGCCACAGCTCTGGCCCTATCAGCTGCTTTGTCACTCAGGGCAGTCAGGATGTGAACCCAGGCCGGCGACAATGCCAGCCGGGCGCGGGCACTGTGGGAAGGCTGAGTGGCAGCCAGGACCCAGGAGGTGCCAGACACAGGCACAGAGCTCACTGCTGAGGCCTCAGAGCCAAGCCCCTCCTGGAGCCGAGCCCCTCCCTGGCTGCTCTGCCGCGGGGAGCAGGAGACCCCGCCCCACTGTGGGACAGGCTACAGGGCTCTGCCCAGCGTTTTCACTCCCATAAGGGCTGTGCTGGCGCGGGGGCCTCTCGGAGCTGCCTGCAGCTCCCCCAAGATGCACTGCTGATGCAAGCAAGCCCCAGGTGCACCAGGGCCCACTCCCCAACCCAGAGGCACAGCAGCCCCAGGGCCCCTGCTGAAGCCTCCAGACCCATCCACAGCCCAGGGCCGGCACCGCAGCGTCCAGGTCTGCATCTCCTGCGGGAGTGGGGTTCACCCTTGATGCCAGCT